TATGGATGATAGCTCTTACCAATGCAGCTTGGAACCAACTGGTCAACTCCATTAAGACAAGTGGGCATAATTCTCTTTAGGATGACTGGTCAGAAGTGTGGGACCTATGTTTTTAAGGTAGGAAAGAGTATAATAGACCCTTTCAGTTTGTTAGGTGATTTCCAATTTATAGTATTTCTAGTGGTTTTTCTCTTTTCTTGAGTAAAGTGCAAAATTTCTAGTACTGATTTGGGTCTTTCTGAATTTTAATTAAAAACCTAAGAAATGGGAATTTACCTTACATAGTAGTTGTATCAAATAATTGATGACATAAATGTAAGAGGTCAGGCAAGTGTTGACCGTTTATGGTTCCACCATTATGCTGGCTTACAACCTTAATACTGCTCAGTTTCTTAAGATTTATACCCCATGAAAAGCAAAGTATCTAGTAGCACAGTTGGTGCTTGCTAACAGCAAATACAGCAATTCCTAACAAGCAGCTGATGGTCTGAACTCTGTATCTTCTAAATTTGGCAGGAAGCAGAGAAGCTTTATTTTATTTTTATTTATTTTTGTCTTTTTGAGATAGGGTCTCCTTGTAGTCCCAGCTGTCCTGGAACTCACTATGCAGACCAGGCTGGCCTCGAACTCACAGAGATCTGCCTGCCTCTGCCTCCCAAGTGCTGAGATTAAAGGTGTGTGCCACCATGCCCGGCTGAAGCTTATTTTTTTTACTAGAAACTTCACAGTTCACCTTATCACTGTTCTGTCCTCAGTTCTCATCTTTATCTTCCAGCATCCGCCTTGATTTCTTCACAGGACTATGAGACAAAGTTACAGTGAATACAAAACTTTTTATTTAAAGAGGACTATATGCCTATTTCCTTCCTACCAGGGGCAGAATTAGGTATTGGGTGATGACAGGTTATTCCTAGGACATACTCTCCAAATGCTCTAGCGATTTATTACTTTCCAAACAATAATGCCATCATCTTTGTGTACCTTATGTATTTAGTAAGATGCAGCTATAGGTCCTCAGTAAACATCAGTTAAACAAATGTTAGAACAAAACACTGCCAAATCCTGCTGTAAAAATCCAAAACATATCAGGATTCCAAATACATCCCCCTATCCCCATGACTGTCATTTTAATAGAGGCCTGCCTTTGTGGTGTTGTTTGACTCAACTCTTGGACCCTGGAAACTGGTTTCTCTGCTTCTATTATTCTCCCTTGACAGGATCAAGGCAATTTTAAGGAGTAAGTTTAAAGGAAAGAACCAAGCAACCAGCAAATCATACATTAAAACATGCTACTTTTCTGCTTAAAATCTTTCCAGGATGCCCCACACTGCTTAGAGTATGGATTTCTGTCTTCAAAAAAAAAATTGTTTTTAGCCAGGCGTGGTGGCACCAGCCTGTAGTCCCAGCACTTGGGAGGCAGAGGCAGGAGGATCTCTGTGAGTTCAAGGCCAGCCTGGTCTACACAGTGAGTTCCAGGACAGCTAGGGTTATAGGGAGACCCTGCCTCAAAAAGACCCCCAAAAAAGAAAAAAATTGTTTTTTATGTGTATTGCCTTCATGTATGTAAGTGCAACCCATGACATGCAGTGCCTATGGAGGTCAAAAAAGGACATCAGATTCTCCTGGAACTGGAGTTGCAGATGGCTTTTAGCTGCCATGTGGGTGCTGGGACTCAAACCTGGGTCCTCTGCAAGAGCAGCCAGTGCTCTTAACTGCTGAGCCATCTCTCCAGCCCCAGAATATGGATTTCTTAAACTACATTCAGGACCAGGAGGCTACAGCCTACAGGCCAAATCTAATTTGCCACCTGCCTGTTTCTCTGTAAGTGGACTTTACTGGAATACAGGCACATACAGTATACAGCTGTTTTTGTACAGCCTAAATATTTATTACCTAGCTCCTTAGTTTGTTTAGCCCCTATTTCCCCAATTTTATTACTGGATCTTTAACTTACCCTTTCCCAGGCATATGTCAACTAAGTGTTTTATAAGAACATCTACAAATCCTCAAACAACTTGCATTGTCCCATACTTGCCTCTGTCTCACTGAGGGCTTAGCTTTGATGTCAACTCCTCAGAGACTGTTCCTGACCAAATAATCTAGAGTGGCCCTTTCAACCACTCAACACTAAGAGCTTTTTAAAAAATTTAAATAGTGAAAAAGTGCATATATATATATATATATATATATATATATATATATATACACACAAAATTATCTAGTTAGGTTCCTTTAGGGGTATCCAATTTGTTAACATTAGGACAGGATGTTGCCGTTTACAAATGTACTGATCCACATTCTTAGCTATCCTAGGATGCATGTAGCATGCAAGGACTTTAGTTGATCCCAATTTTTGTTGACACCATCTAAGGCACTATAATCAGTACCTTGTTTGAACACATGCCTTCTATTAGGCCTGATCAGGTTATTATTGACAATGTGATGTCAATGTCACAGAATAATCTTTACTACCCTGTTTGAGCTGGTATCTGTTGGCTTGGACACTCAAAATGAAGACAAGAGCTGCCTCTCTTCATGGCAGACTCGGTAGTCAGGGGGATGTGAGAGCAGAGTAGTCAAAATTATCCTGGGGCACTTTTCTAAAGGTATATGGGGGTGTTCCTGGAGTCAGTGTGGGGCTGCTGCAAGGTAGGTGACATTCTTTCTTTATCCAGATCTAGACACCCTTTAGCAATCCATTCTTGGCTGTTGAAGCCTAATTTGGGAAGGGCAGGAGCTTCCCTTCTGGCACCATCTTGGTGAAAAGCCCGATAATTTGGCATTGAATATAAAGTTGTGTACTAGCTTACTTCTCTCCTTTAGAACAGAAGCTCTATGAGAGAACCACCCTTGGTCTGTTCACACCAATTTCTATTTTCATCAGCACAATAAGCTTAGTACCACAATGACTGGTCCTGCTTCTGAATGAGAAAGGCCAATTAACAGCTGCTGAAGAAATGACAGCAACACCAGGAACACCATTCCAGGTCAGCAGTTTCCAAAGGTCAGTTCAATATTGGACATTTGCATTAACACTGGCCTGATGTCAGTCACAGAAGGAAACAGAAATCAGTATTTTGGGGCCCATTGTGGGTAAAATAACTCCACCAAGAGTATGTCTTCTGAATGTGGGTCTACCTTGCCCTAGTCAGGTAAAGGTCACATCAGGAAAAGCAAGCAAAGCAATGTCACAGAACTGAACAAAGAAGTTCTCAACCTTTAGATTATTATGGTTAAGAATTTTATTATCAAAATTATTACATCTCTTGTGAAAGTTCAAATGTTACAGCAAGGTGTAAACACTCCACTTGAGAAAGAAGTGATACTTCTTCCCTTCCAAGAGTCCCCCCCCCCTCCCCCCCAGAGGTCTGGTCTTGACAGCACCCTGCCCACACAGAGTGGCTGGGGTCTCTGCACGTGCCAGGCAGGGTGAGGGCCGCCTGCCCGCTGGCCTCTCCCCTTGGTTAAGAGCCAAGGGGAGAATGCAAACCCCAGCCCAAATGGAGAGACATTTACATACGTTTTATATAATATACAAAGAAACCGGCATCCCAGGCAACATGATTTCTACTCCCAACGCTCTCCCAGACTGATGGGTTTGTGGGGGAAACAAAAAAGAGAAGTACTCTGCTGAGGGCTCAGCATTAAAAACAAACAAACAAAACCCCCCAAAACAACAACAACAAAAAAAAACCTCCCCTCATTTGAGCAAACACCTGATTTCAATTTTGAAAAGTGAAATTTTGTAACAGTCACACAAAGAGAGAAGACTGTGCATATGATAGTTGTAGGACAGGGCAGGTAAGGAGCTGAAAGAGGCTGGGGGAAAAAAAGGAGGAAACAAATTAGAAGAAAGGAGGGAGACTCACAGTATTATCTTGTCCAAAAGAAAAGAAGGTCCACTGCAGCACCAGGGATTACACCTGTCATATACTCACTACCCTACCATGGTTATAGCTGAATACAAAATTAGATAAATAAAAACACGCTGGGTATTACAGTAAACAAGTGAAAGAAATAAGCTGGCAACCGTATGGAATTTAAAAAGATTGTGTACCCCACCTGGGCTGGCTCCAGGGCTCCTCCAGGGGTGTACAACAGGCACAATGCACTGATGGGGAGAAGCCAGTCTGCTCATCTCTATTCAGAACAGTGTTAGGGGTATGGGTGACTTGTTAACGTGCTCACCGGCCCACTCTCACCTAAGCATTCCCCCAAAGAAACGTGGGGCAGGCCCCACACACAATCGCAGTCCTGTCGGTGCCACTTCACAACCCTATCTTTCCCATTCTTACCCTGCAGTCATGAGTGCATGCTCCCTAACCATGGAGGCAGTCCTGCTCTTAGGATCAGCGACTCCTGGTTAACTGGGAGTAGAAAAAATAAAATTCAAAGAATTCCCAGACCACTTTGGATCCTTTTTAAACTGGCCTGTCTCACTTCTCACTTCACAGCGCTATTACTAAACTGTGAAACAGTGTGGGAAGGAGGAGTGGGATGGTAACAGCTGGGGCTCAATCCACTTGGATAATATGCTCCCAAGTAATCAAGAGCTGAGCACTAGCTCCTCTTCAAAGAGCCAGGCAGCCCTCAGTCAGAGTAAGCGCCAAGCTTTACTCTCTGCCTGTTTCCTGGTGATTTGAAGACAAAGGTAGGGAGTACTTGGTGGACACACCTTGGCCATGTATCTGCTTTTGGAATGGTTGTCTACAGTGAACGTTTACATACCTACCTTTTTTTTTTCTTAAGTGCATAAAACCCTAACACTACTCAGATGGCTTGGGGCTTTGAGATTGGCTCTTTCCACGTTTT